GTTTGCAAACAGGCGCGCGCCGACATGCGCCGACTAGGCGCCGACATAGAAACCATATTGTGGTTGTTTGCAAACAAGCGCGCGCCGACATGCGCCGACTAGGCGCCGACTAGGCGCCGACATAGAAACAGTGGGGCGGGTGTTTGCAAACAACCCGCGCGCCGACATGCGCCGACTAGGCGCCGACTAGGCGCCGACTATTGGCGTTTGCAAACAGGCGCGCGCCGACATGCGCCGACTAGGCGCCGACTAGGTGCGTTTGCAAACGCTGGCGAAACAGCCCCTGCGCCGACTAGGCGCCGACTAGGCGCCGACTATTTTGGCGCCCTTGCGCCGACTAGGCGCCGACTATTTTGGCGCCCTTGCGCCGACTAGGCGCCGACTAGGCGCCGACTAGGCGCCGACTAAAAGGGCGCCTGGTTGGCGCCCCCTGCGCCGACTAGGCGCCGACTAATGTTGAGTGGATTTTGGTCGACCTGCACTGAAAAATTGAACGCCTGAAAACTTAGCGAATCAGCGTTTGGAAACGCGAATAGTCGGCGCATAGTCGGCGCCTAGTCAGCGCATCGAGGTTGCATTGGCAAAATAGTCGGCGCCTAGTCGGCGCATGGACGTTTCACTGGTGAAACAGTTGGCGCATCGGCGTTTGCATCCTTTTGCAATCTCATGCTCGCTCCACGGGCGATTGGCATTGGGCTTTGGGAGTCGTCTCGAAATCCTGGTTGGAACGCGCCTGGGACAGGTCCTGCAATTTCCTCCCGTCTGGAGAGTGGATGCTAGAGGAAGGGGGGGGTGAGGGAAGGGGCCAGGGGAGGGGGGTGGGAGGAGGGAGGAGGTGGAGGGGAGGAGGAAGGAGGTGGAGGGTGGAGGTGAGGAGAAATCCAGGACACAATGACCCCTGTCCCCAATTCTTCTCGCTGCAAGCTGACTGGCTTCAAGGCTGGCCAGCTGGCCCCTCCTCTGGGGCCCCCTGGGGAAGCCTGGGGCGCATAGCGAGCTCCGGGGCGTCATGAGCGACCTCATCATTGATAGCGAGAAGGGCGATGCCATGGCGCATGGCCCCAAGGAGAGCGACGACCTTGCCGAGCTGGCGCGATGGGGAGAAAAGGAGGAGGTTTCGGTTTGAGTAGGGGGTAGAAGGTAGAGGGTAGAGGAGGGTATAGGGTATAGGCTAGAGTGTAATAGGCTATATGATATAGGCTACAGGCTATAAGGTATACGCAGGCTACAGGCTACAAATAAGCTGTAGGCTATAGGCTATAGGCTAGGATATAGGTAGGGTTACGGGTTACGGTATAGAGGGTAGAGAGGTAGCGGGAGGGCGAGACGAAAGTGGGGGAGAGAAGTGGGGGGAGAGAAGTCAGGACCAGGAGGGTGATGGTCAGGTCAGCGGTCAGCACGGGGGCTGCTATGTCCTAGGGCGTAAGGGCTTAGGGCTCAGGGGGCTTGGAGGCCTCTTGGAGACTTGGCGCATGGTTGAGCCTGGGGGCTATCTTGAACAATGAACAATTTAGACGCTACCATTCGAAATTTTTGGTCCAAAGAACCCTGGGTCACCTCGTTCCCTTCTCCGCTATTTTCCATGTCCTGGCTGTCGTTATTCCTCATCCTCTCATCCCGATCCTCGGGCTCCTTACTAACTAGCCACATCCTGGTTCTGCTGATGTTGGACCTGCGGGTCCTCGCCATCCTCATCCCGATCCGGGTTCTAACTGGTCTCGGTCTCCTGATGATGATCCCCATCCCCAGTGTCCATACCCCCTACTCCCTACCCCTTCCATTATCTTATCTCTTGTCTCTTATCCCTCAGTCCCTGATTCCCTAATCTCGGAACCTCCTATCCTGGCGAATGGCTGCCTTGCACGTGGTTTCTGAGGGCTGAGAGTCGAGGGCATCTAACGATTATGGAAACCCTGAAGCGTCTAATTTCGAGCCTTCCCGCTTTAATGTTAGCCAAACGGTCAAACGCCAAAGGGCTATCATTCTAAGTGCGCGCACCTGGCGTCAGGGCAGGGGCCAATAAAAAGCATGATACGCCACTTGCGACTGTGCCCCAGGGGGGCAATCCCCTGGGCCCCCCCGTGCTCGCCATCGCTTTGGAGGTACAACCCTCCGCGCCAGCGCCAAGCGGAATTAGAGGTCGCGTCTGTATGCCCGACCTCCGACCCCCGCCTGCCGCAGAACCACTCGCCAGATACGGTCTGCCGAGCCCTCCTCAGCCACGTTCATCCGCGCGCTTGGGCACGTGATGGCGCTGATCTCTGCCAGCGCTTTCGCGAGGAACATGTTGGCGTAGTCCTGCCCCGCCTCCCAGTGGGCTGCCAGGTCATCAGACCTGGACTGGCGAAGTGGGTGACGATGACGGCCTCCTCACCAGCAACCCCGTCGCCCACTGCCGCTGGCTGACCACGGCCTCCGCCGCTCACTGTGAAACAGCAGCAGCTTGGCCAGCAATCATGTCATGGTGACCATGGCGTTGGTTTGCTGCGCCCCTGGCGCCCGCTCGCGGGCCTCCAGGGTCTGCCAGGGCAGCGGTTCCACCTCCTTCACCAACTGGCTGCCTTCAGCAGCATGCTGATCTCTTCGCAAGCCCCCACCTCGAACGCCTCCACTAATTGGCTGCACCCCCCATGTAAAAAGGCCAAGGTGTTGGGCTGCCGCCCAACGTTTCGCCCACGTGCCGACCTCCATGACCCGTCGAGGAAACGCATCCATGACCACCGCCTGGCTGCGAATCCGCGACAGCGCTGTGAAACTCATGAACTGCGGAGGCATCGTCAATCAAGGCGGCGCTTCCACGACGACATGGGCCATGAGTTGCTGAGCGCTCATCGACCAAGGCATGGCCTGTCAAAACAACGCATTCATTTCCACTGGCTGGCTGCGGATCCGCAACAACGACTGCTGAGCCATGGCCATGGCCATCGCTGTCGCTCGACGGCCTGATAAGGGCGTCAGCGAGCGCGAGCGCAAATGCGCTCTGGGAATATTCTTGGACACTCGTGGGGCCCCCTTGGCCCTTGGGGCTCGAGGCTCGACCTTCCACCTTCCCCCCCCCCCCTCCCGCGTCCTCGAGCCTAGCCCGCAAGCACTGGCTAACCCTGGCTAGCCCCAACTAGCCCCAGCTAGTTCCAGCGTCACAGCCAGCCTCAGCTAGCCGCTGCCCAGCCTTCGCCAGCTAGCCCCAGCAAGGTCCATCAAGCCAAGATGGCGGAGATGAGGATCTGAGGAGGAGAGGTGGACGAAAAAGGGAGAGTCCAGGAAGACAAGGACGACTGACGAAGGAGGGGCGAAGGAGGAGTCCAGGAGGAGGAGTTGGAGGAGGAGAAGGAAGAGGAAAGGAGGAGGAGGAGGACGAGGAGGAGGACGAGTGGGAGGAGGAATGAGTTAGTTGGAGGAGAGGGAGGAAGGATGGATGAGGGAGACTTGATGGTTGAGCAACGGGAGGACAAGTTTTTTTCTGCATTTTTGCATCAGGAAGAAAACTGGAAGACCTAGCAGCCTAGCAAGCGCGCTCCCCCTCCCTCCCCCCGCCACGCCGTGCAAGGCCTCCCCCATGGCCAACTACGAGTATGACGAGTCCTCCGAGTTGTCCCCGTCCACGATCTCCTCTGGGTCATCTGAGGTGTCCGAGGGCTCCAGTGGCGACCTCGCTGACCTGGCTGACGAGGACGAGGTAGATAATCTCCAGAGAGAAGCAGAGGAGCTCAGACAGAAACGGAAGAAGCTTGAGTTCGAGGTTAATGAGAAATGGATAGGCCACTACGGCAGCATCTTCGAGAGCCTGCTCAAATGCAAGTTCGACGACATCAAGTTCCCAGTGCACCCAGCCTCCGACGGCGGTTCCAACAAGAAGCTCAGGGTGTTGTCGTTCTGTTCTGGCACTGAGTCTCAGGCGCGTGGGTTGCCAACGCTCGCGAATGCACTTTCCTGGCCCGTCTCCATCCATGGCATCGTCAGGGTCGCGTGTTCAGGTTTCTGAGTGGGGCGCATGTTTGCCCACTTTGACTTAAGACTTAAGCGGCGTTGCGCTGGATGGGGATCCAGGAAAGTGCTCGCGATGCGTTGCTACTCGCCCAGTTCTTCGCGCTGAAGACGATCATGGACTACCATGGGGACAATGTCTGCGTGGATTTGGTTGCCTCCGTGGACCCTTTCAGGCCATGTCATCGCTTCGTTTGGAACAACCTGTCCACTGACGAGCGGGAGCGCGGCCACTATTACAATTACGTCGCGGAGTTAAGTGCTGGCGAGGCTTTCTGTTACTTCTGCGACTGTTGCTGCGTTGGGCCTGGTAGGGCGTCTGGGTGCGAAGGGCTGAGCGATGGGCAAGCAGAGGACCTCGACATCCTCGTGGCAGGGTTCCCGTGCCCCCCGTTCAGCACGCTGAATTCGCATCGCCAAGACAAAGACTTAAGTTCTGGAACCACCCCGACGGGAACGTTATCGTTGACATTGCCCACTGGGTGCAGACTCAGCCGAAGGTTCCCCCCAAAGCGATCATTCTGGAGAACGTCCCAGGCGCGGTGGCTGTATCTCATAAAGGAAGGCATAATCCGCTGGAGTTCCTCATGAAGGGGTCAGTGAAAAACTACAAGGGCCTCGCTCGCTTCTACTACGGGCTGAAGCACTGGGGCGAGTACGACCTCATGAAGAGTAACTCTGGCAACGAGTACTTCGAGATTTCCGCCGGTGAGTTTGGATTGCCTGTTCATCGCAAGCGCATTTTCTTTGTGCTCATCAGAAAGGACTTGGCCAGCCTAGAAGTCAGGAACTCCATGGCGAAGCTCATGAAGGCGGCGACTCAAAACCCCATGAGGCTAGAAACGCTGAGCGACATCATGATGAGGCACAATCCCAGCAGCGAAGGCGACATCGATCTGAGCGAGGAGCCCCAGCGCAAGGTGAACAAGCACTACAAGAGCAAGAAGGAAGGCGGCACATGGAGCATGACCCAGAACAGCATTTCCGAGAGCATGGATTTCAGGGAGAAGCACGGCCTACCTGAGTATGGTTCTGATAAGATGTCCAGCATCACGCCCCGGCGCGGCATCCTCCCTGACAGGGAGCGCGACATCATCGACGTCATCGGCTTGATGCACGAGAAGGCGGGGGGGGATCCCAGAGGACCTGACGATCGACGTCAGCCAGTCGCTCAGGAGGAAGCCGTTCAACGTCAATGGGAAAATCCCCCAGCTGGCCAAAGGCGCGCATGACTCGCCTAAACGGGGTGCTAGATCTGTCCTGGGGGGCCCCAGACCACTAGCCGCCGCTAGCTAGCATGTAGCCTGTAGCCCAATCTGGACCAGAACACCCATGCCCAGGCCACAGACCCAACCCACCCCCCAGGCCCCTAATCCTCTCAGGCAGCCTGGCTCCCGCCCCCCCCGCCCCGAGAAGTGGGCCATAAACGCCTTGGGCCCCGCAGGGTCCAAGATCTGGTACCGCGGCAAGATCTTGGGGCCCAGGACGCTGTTCTACGCCATGGGCTGGGGCACTTCGCCGCTCGACTTTGGGTCGGACGTGGACCGCATCCGGGGAGTGTCTTTGAGGGTGCTCCTAGCCAACATGATCGCGAAGCCGCAGATCGGCCTCGTGCAGTTGGCGCTGCTCTACTCCCTGCGCCGCTTCACCCTGGCTCCCAAGGCTGAGCAGGTTGAGGCCTGAGACTGAGGCTTAGGACTGAGGATGGGAGAACGAGGAGACGAGGAGAAGGAGTAGGAAGGTGAAAGGGATAGTGATGGGCGGGAGGGAGGTGGAGGAGGAGGGGGAGGAGGAGGAGGAGGAGGTAGGCATGAAGGAGGAGGAGGATGAGTAGAGGAGAGACAGATTGAGAAAGATGCGAGAAGGGGAGGGGGACATCTATGAGGATGGCGATAAAAATGTTAGACGAGAGGCAATTGCATCACGTGCACTGGATGAGGCCGGAGGATGGAGACAGGAGGACCGATTGAGTGGAAACAGTGAGGTACGGGCATGAGTGCGTCGAGGTAGCTAAGAATTCAGTCTGTTAGGAGGAGAGAGGTAGGAGGAGGAGGAGGAGGAGGAGGTGGAAGTAGAAACCACTAATCCAAGAGATCAGGAGGATGTTGGGGAGGGAGGGCGGAGGAGGAGGGCAACAGAGAGGAGGCAGGAGGCAGGAGGCAGGAGGAGGCTGAGGTGGAGGAGAAAGGAGGAGAGGGCGGATGAGAGGAGAGAATATGAGAAGGAGAGGGGAGGATCTCCAGAAAAGGGGGAAAGGAGGAGGTAGCCGGTAGGAGGATCGGAGGAGGATGAGTGTAGGAGTGAAAGGAGAGGAGGAGGAGGAGGAGGAGGAGGAGAAGGAGGAGCAGGAGTCGCAGCTCGAGGAGGAGGAGGAGGACGACGAGGTAAAGGAGGAGGAAGACGAGGGAGGAGAGCGCCCGGCCGCCCGCCCTCCTGGTCGCCTGGTAGCTCGGCGAGGCACGCATCGACGCGGGGAAGCGTTTTCGACATGCTTCCGCCACATCCCTTGTCCTCGTCCTCCTGACTCCTCCTCCTCCTCCTCCTCCTCCTCCTGACTCGTCCTCCTCCTGCTCCTCCTCCTCCTCCTCACCTCCGCCACCCCTCCTTTCTTCCCTTCCTTCCTCAAAGCTCATACCCGTTCCATCCCCCACTCCCCTCATCATCACCTGCCACTCAGTACCTCCCTCCCCCTCTGGGCTCCATGTGTCCTCATCCAGTGCTCACTCCACTGGAACTCCACTCATTCGCTCTTCTCCCATCCTCCTCCTCCCTCCCTCCTCCTCCTCCTCCTCCTACCTCACCTTTCGCTCCTCTTCCTCCTCCTATCCTCCACTCTCCTCCTCCTCCTCTCCTAGCCTTGTCCTCCTCCTCCTCCTCCTCCTCTTCCTCTGCCTCCTCCTCACTCCTGATCCTCCTTTTATCTCCCCTCCATCCTTTCTTCCGCGAACTCCTTCTCCGTCCTCCTGAGCTCCTCGCGCCTCCTTCTCCTCCTGAACTCCTCTCCTCCCTCGCTGCTACCTAGAGCCTTCTCCTCCTCCTCCTCCTCCGTCCTCCTCCCCTCCTCCTCCATCCCCTCCACCTCCTCCTCCTCCTCCTCCTCCTCCTCCTCCTCCTCCTGTCATTTCTGGCGTCCCGCTGCTGCGCTCCCTGCCCCGCGCCCTGTCGCGCTGCCGAGCGCAAGGCAAGAAGGGCGGGCCCAGGAGGGAGCCGGTCGGGGTCTTTCGCCCGTCCTCCGCCTATTTCTCCCAGGCGTCCTTCCATCCTCTCTGCTCGCAGGCAGATGGCCTGGCCCCTCAAGGAGCCCTCCTCCTCCTCCTTCTCCTCCTCCTCCTCCTCCTCCTCTTCCTCCTCCTCCTCCTATTCCCTAGTCCTCCTGGACGTCCTACCGAGTCCTACCCCTCCTCGCTCCTCGCCAGCAGATGTCCTGGCCCCCCAGGGGGCCCCTGGGATCTTGGTTTTTCCCCTTCCTGGCTCTGGAGGCCTACTTGGGCCGCAGGTCTCAGGGCCGCCCACGGATGGCTCTGTCACGCTGGGAAGCGTGGAAACCCTAGGAACTGACCCGGGCATTCCAGGGAACGAAATCCAAGCGAGGGGCGAGGGGTAGCGGCGCCGCTGGGGTTGGGTGCTGCTGGTCGTCCTCATTGTCGCTGCCCATTGGACCATTGGCCTTGGGACCCCCGCGGATGACACTGGCGCGCTGGGAAACCCCAGGAGCCCAGGAGGATCTGGCGGCAGTTCTTGGGGACGAAATCCAAGTGTGTTTTTGACAAAACGTCTGAGGGGCGACCCTATGCCCCGCGCCAACGTCGCCGCTTGGGGGAGTTGCTGGCGTCGCCCCTGTCGTCCCTGTCGCCATTGCCCCTGTCATCATGGTCTGGGGTGCCTTTCCGCCCTCTGGAGGGCTACTTCAGCCTCGGGATCTCAGTGGATCTCACCAGCACGTCCGGAAACCCCAGGATCTGGCGCGAGAGTTCCAAATTCGCCGGCCCAACGGGCCAGAGGCGTGCTAAGATCTCCGGTCTGCTTTACAGTATTTCAAACTTCGCGCGCGGGGGGCGGCCCCTGGGGGTCCCCGGAAGAAAAATAACCCCGGCAGGGTCGGGGTCAGAGATGGTTTTCCGTCTGGGCGCCGCCCTCGAGACCCTCCAGAGAGCCCCAAGAAGGGTCAAGAGCCCCCAAGATGATACAAGAGGGCTCGAAGATGCCACAAGATCGCTCCAAGACGCCCAAGATGGCCCCCAGACGCCCCAAGAGGCCTCCAAGAGCACTCTCAAGAGGGCCCCAAGATGCAACAATCACTGCTTTTCCTTAGGTTTTGGAACGATTTTGGTGTTGCCACCTTTTCGGCTTCCCGACGCCCCAAGACGGCCCAAGAGGCCCCCAAGATCGCCCCAAGAGGGCCCAAGAGGCCCCGAAGAGGGCCCCAAGACGGCCCAAGAGGGCCCCAAGACGGCCCAAGAGGCCTCCAAGATGGCCCAAGAGGGCCCCTAGAGCGCCCCAAGAGCGGCCCCAGAGGGGGAGCACGAAACAACATTTCGAGCCCTCGGTCCTGAGAGGCCTCCAGGAAGCCCCAAGAGGCCCCTAAGAGGCCCCAAGAGGCCCCCAGGAGCCCTCAGGAGGCCCCCAAGACGCCCCCAAGAGGCTCTAAGAGGCCCCCAAGAGGCCTCTTGGAGGCCCTAAGAGGCCCCCACGGGCCAGCGGAATGAGCGACGCGACTCAATAATCAAATGCGAAATCCAAACATGTTTTGACGACACGCTCGGGGGAATCGTCCGTACGGGCAAGGGGTAATGGGTAACAGTAAGGGAAGGGGTAAAGGCTAAGAGGCCCTCAGTCCCTTAGTAGGGGGCAAGGTGCAAGGGGGTCAATAAAGGGCCAGCTGGCTGGCAAAGGGTCGGCAAGGGGGGAGGAAGAAAAAGAAGGAAGGAGGAGGATGAGGAGGAGGAGGAGGAGGAGGAGGAGAAGGAGAGGAGAGAACATATGACAGAAGGAGGAGGGGTAGGAGGGAGGAGGAGGAAGGAGGAGGAAAGGAGGAGAGGATCATGATGAGAGGGGGAGGATTATAAATTATGATATGGGGACGAGAATACAAGAGAACGAGGGGGTCTGTTGCCGTTTTGGCTGTCGTGATCGAGCTTGCAGCTCAGCTGCTTTTAAGCAGCAGGGGGTCCACGACGATCACTCCAGGCCTGTGTCTCTCGCACCTTGGCCTGGGCATGGCAGATCTGGCCGACCTCGGCGACTCTGACAGCGACGTGCGCTCGGACTCTGGCGAGGCCAAGGCGGTCGAGGACGCAGGTGATAGCGACTCCAGCGCTGAGATCACTTGTGTTGGTTGTAAGAAGACGAATAAAGATCTATGCCCTGTCAAGAAAAAGAAACACAAAGGCCCTGGCCCGTTGGAGCGCACCCGTGCCAATCGCATCGCGTGGGGCAAGACCACCCGGAGGCGTGGCGGTAACATTCAGAAGTCTGGGGAGTGGTGTAGGATCTGCTTGAACGTTAGCACGCAGTGGATGGGGAAAAAGAAGAGGTACAAGTCAGAGGGCAACAAGAAAAAGGGGCTCAAGCTCTTGAAGGCCATGCGTTCCAAACATAACATTTATCATTTATCGGGGATCTACTGACCTGGGTCAATGCAGACATGGATCAGTCAGTCCGTGCAGGATCCTGCAGGACCCTGCATGATGCTGCACCCAAGCCTGGGTAAATGCACCCCTGGCCCTGCAGGATCCTGAAGATCCGGCGCTCTAGCTGACCCTGTTTTGCATTGACCCATGTCCCTTCGCCCCCCAATATAATAATACAAGAATCGATTCATGATGCTGGGTGTAGGCTTCAGGTCCCTCGGTCCCTCCTGGGCATTTCCTCGCCAAGACCGCGCTGGCCACCCTGAGTCATCCAATGCTGGCCGACAAATCTGGAGCCATAAATCTGTCCGTCTTTCCGGTCTCTTGGGCGATCCTCATGTGCCAGGGATCTGGTTTTCGTAGTTTCCTAAGCAATGGGCCACTTGCCCGCCAGGCTGCCCATCGCGCCCCCCCCCTGCAGGCCGACCTCGGGAAGGACAAGAAGGTCAAGGCGAGGTTCAAGGCGAACG